ATACTCTGGCATCAGCAATCAGGAAAGCAAAAGACAAATTGTATTAGGAAAATATGCTATCAGGGACCTCTACAGAGTGCTGAAGAGCAGCAATGTCAGTCTAGAGAATAAAGTATGCCTAATTCAGGCAATGGTCTTCGCAATTACTTGCTATGTATCAGAGAGCCAGACAATGACCCAAGATAACAGAAAAATAATTGATGTCTTTATATTGTGGTGCTAGAAAAGAGTCTTGAATATACCATGGACTACAAAAGAACAAACAAGTCTTCCCCAGAAAGGATGAAACCAAGTTCCTCCTTGGAAGCAAGGATTTTGGAGCTCCATTTCACATACTTTGGATATGTTGTCAGTTGGACCAGTCCTTGGAAAAGGACATCATGTTTGGTAGGGTAGCGGGATAGTGCAGGGGAGGAGGGCCCTGGATGAGATGGATTGACACAGTAACTGGGTTAATGAGGGTAGGTATATGAAAGACAGTGAGATTGGCTTAGGATAGGGCAGGGTTCAGAACTTTAGCATCAAGTCATTATGAGAGTTGAAGGCGACTTGATGACACATAACAACAACATGATGTTCCTCATTAATCCAGTGGTGGGGATTTTTGTTGCCTAGATATTGAGATACAATTTGAAAGCAATAGTCTTTGTTTTTCTGTGGAAAACAATTAAAATTCTCCTCATTTTTAGCAAGCAAGATAGTGTCATCTGCATAATGCAGATAATTGATGAGTCTTTTCCCTGATCCTGATGCTTCATAGAGATGTTTAATCAGGATATGGAAAATACAAAGTTCCTGGTGAGATACATTTGGTAAGCACTTTATCTAAACAAGTTACAGGACTTCTAAGAACCTTGGATATGCTAATTTGTAATTTGATACTCTAGAAGGTAATTATATGGGATTTTTCACATTTGATACATTTTCACCCAATGAAAAACGTCCTGAGAGAATATGCTGAGAATCATTTTTCATTAGTCTTTATCCTTGGTTTTTGAGAACTAATTATAAACCCTTATATTTTCCCAGTAATTGAGATGCCCTTGTTATATTTACCCTGGAGACTACCTCTGAGAATTTATGCTAATGAGTGAGTCAGTCTGTGACTGATATATCAAGACAAAAAATATTAATATACAGTATTAACCAAATTCAAGGGAGATGGTATGATTCAAACAACCATGAATGCATAATGAGGCCCTAGAATAGGCTTTGACATGGACACTCCAGGAGCTTCCCTGTTGGTGAAAGACATCAATGCACCATAGTCTCATGGGGCATAAGAACTTTGTTGTCAGAAATCCTCCCAGAACTTTCCTAATATGACCTTCATTTGCACCTTTTATTTCCTATATTCTATCTGTAATTGTAAGTATAGGGATTTCATTTTCTTGTAAGCCTTTTCAGAGAATTATCAAACCAAAAGTAGTAGTGGGACTCAGGAGGTCAGAAACAAGGAGGATCCCTGAGCCTACAGCATTTGTCCTAGGGTAGATAGTAGTAGGAACACCTGCATTTGAAGACAGTAGGTCAGGAGTGAAGATTTCATGGGGAATCCCAAAATGCTCCAGGAGTGTAACACTTTGGTCTCACTTGACAATCTAAAGAGTTGTATCTTTGAATTTGGGATATCTGAACCAATTCCAAGTGGGGGATTACCAGATGAAGGAACAATGTGTGTAGCTTATGGTTGTTTTTAGTGCCATCAAATTGAGTAAGACTCATAGTAACCCTATAAACAACCAATCTGAAGACTGTCCTATCACAGGCCATGCTCACAATCTCTTGCCTCAAGTCCATTGCCAAAGTCACTGTGTCAACCCACTTGGTTGAGGGTCCTCCTCTCTTTCGCAAGCCCTAAACTATAAACAACCATGAGTAACATGAGTAGTTCGTGATAGAGAAGTGAAAGTGAGCATTTTAGTCTCAGGGATTTTGGTGGTACGATTCTTTTAATGCTGCATTGCTAAATGAAAAACCATCAGTTCATATTCCCCAGATACTCTGAGGAGAAGAAAAAAAGATGAGCATTCTTCTCCCACAAAGCCTGTGATGCTCAAGGAGGATCACTGTGATTTGAATTACTAGACTGTAGGGATGATTTCTCATACCTGCTTGCCAATGTCTTTCCCTTTTTCCATGTCAGGTTTTATCACTACTCTATTGATATATCTTCACTCATATGGTTATTGGAATTTCCACTTCCATTTTATTTCCTTCCTTTCCTTTTTTGGACTTCATATTTTTTTCCTCACCATGGAAGTATGCAGTGATAATAGCTTACCCATTGTCATCTATTTTCTATAATGCTTATTATAGCTCTCAGAACTTGTAGGTACTCAATAGATACTTACCAAATGCATGAACACATTAATTTCAAGTAATAAACCAAAGAATTCCAAGAGTTCCTTAGAAAATTGAAATATATTTCCTTGTTGTTGTTGATTGTCTTCAAGTCAATCACAACTCATAGTGACCCTATGAACAAAAGGCCTGAAGACCCTCTACAATCATCGACATTTATCAAAGTTCATAGAGTTTCCAGAGGCAACATTTAGGAAGTGGATACCAATCCTGCTTCCAAACCTGTCATAGTATGTTATTGTTGCTATTACATACCATTGAGTCACTTGCAATGTATAGCGACCCTGGTACAGCAGCTCTGAACCCTTCCCTGTCCTGAACTAGTCTCACTAACTCTGACACACCAATCCCCATTGCCCCAGTCACTGTATCAATCCATCTCATCTGGGGTCTTCCTCTCCTGCACTGTCTATCCACCCTTCCAAACATGACGTCCTTTCCCAAGGACCAATCTCTCCTGGTCACGTGCCCATAGTAAGGGAAGTGGAGCTTCAAAATCCTATCCTTCAAGAAGAGACTTGGTTTCACCTTCTCCAAAACAAAGCATTTGTTTTCTTGGCAGTCCATGGTATGTTCAAGATTCTTCTCCAGTATCACAGCTTTAAGGCATCGATGACATTCTTCTGTCATCCTCAGTCATTGTCCAACTCTCTGAAGCATAACAAGTAATTGAGAATACCATAGCCTGGATTAGGCGCACCTTTGTATTTAAGCTGACATCGTTCTTTACCCTTTTGTGAATGAGTAGACTAGACTTTTTAAATGTATCACTATTCTCAGTTTAACTCTAACACCACTTTTAGAGTGACAGAAATAATAAAATAATAATAAATAATAACAACTATAACCTACACTTAAAAATTAGACATAGATTATAGACCTAAGACTAAAACCAAGTTCATTAAAGAAAAACTTGGAAGAACTTTAGAAGTCCTAATCCACAACATAAACAGTCTTGCAAGCATCCTGAAAAATCTACCACCAGGAGAGGATAAAATAAATGAGTGGAACCCTCTTAGAGTCAAACCCTATGCACATCCAAACATTTCTCCAACAGGGTAAAAAGGGAAGCCACAGACTGGGAAAAAATATTTGGTAATGACATTTCAGATAAGGGACTTATATCTAGAATTTATAAAATGTTGAGTACCACAACAAGATAAATAAGCCAATTAAAAAATGGGCTCAGGATGTGAACAGACACTTCACCAAAGAAGACATTCAGATGGCAAACAAACACATAAAAAAATGTTCAAAATCCCTAGTTCTAAGAGAGATGCAAATTAAAACAAATATGAGATATCATCTCACCTCAGTAAGAATAGTAAAATTTAATAGAACAGCAAACATCAAATGCTGGCGAGGTTGTGAAGAAACAGGAACTCTTATTAACTGTTGGTGGGAGTGTAAAATGGTGCAACCACTATGGAAGGCTGTATGGCACTTTCTCAAAAAGTTGCAAATAGAAATACCATTTGACCCAGCAATTCCACTACTGGGAATTTACCCTAAAGAAACCATACTGCCACCCAAGCAGATATATGCACACCCATGCTTATTTTGGCTTTGTCTGCAATAGCAAAGTGCTGGAAACAACCCAAGAGCTCATCAAAAACGAATGAATAGAGAAGCTCTGGTATATTCTCACAGTGGAATACTATGCAGCATTGAAAAACAAGGAACTAATGAGATATTATGCAAAATGAATGACCCTGGAGGACATTATGCTGAATGAAATATCTTAGTCACAAAAGGACAAATATTGCATAGGGCCACTGTTGTAAAATGGGACTGACATCAGGGTTGAGGGAGGGCAGAGAAGGAGGGCAAGAATGATGTATACTGCATTGAAATAGATGAGGGAGAAAACTGTTTAATAGGGATATATCATTGTGTATTATTGTCATGACAGGAGTCCAGAATGAAGGCTGCACAGTGGAGTGGACTTGAGGGGAGGGACTGCATAACAATGAAAAAGTTTTTCTTTTACTTTTCAAGGAGAAGTGTTAATGCGGGGGAGGGTATGGGCAGGGAGAAAAGTTCAACAATGAATGACTGGAAACCCTAAAAAAATAAAAAATAAAAAATTAGGCATAGAAAGAATCATGCAAGGTTGTTTTTATTGAGATTTACATAAGGATTATAGTTAAGTATTTCAAGCATCACTTCTTTTGACAGACAAACACCACATCCTAAGGAACATTTCAAGAGACACCAATGATTTCACAGCTAGAGAGAGCAGAGCATCCCTTCTCTGCAGTTAACATTATGTATTTGGAATATTTCCGGAAATTGTGAAAGAAAAGGTGCTAAGTGACAACTGGTCCTCCTCTATAATATTATCCTGGACAAATACCTTCAAGAAAAGGAATATTATGACTATTACAGAAATAAAGAGATCATTTCTCCAACTCCATCCTTTTAACATAGGATAGGAATTGGGGTCACATATCAGAAGGAAACTGATTGAGAATACAGAATAAGCTACATGTCAAGTTTTCTATGGGTGGTTACTAATACTAATGTGATTAATTTATTTTAAAAAAACCCCAAAATACTATGATATATTAGGGACTGTAGGAGATGCTCAGCAGTTGAAGTTTCAAAGTTTCTTCTCTCCACTCTCATGGTTTTCTTTATGAATTTTTCTTGGAAATTTTCATTGTGACTGTCTTGACCTCTGTATATTCATGAAGACCATATTCTCCCCTAGAGAGAGGTGGGGAAAGGAACAGCATTTATGACAGCAGTACAAATTTGGTTTAAAGTATTCTTTGTAACATTCGCAGCTGGAATTATTGAACTGACAAAAAGGTGGTTGTCAATAAACACATTAAAGATGTTTAGGGAATTATTAGGGGCTACATTGTTTTCAGGCTTAGTCTGGGGTTACTTACATTTCAAATACAAAGTCCGAGCAAATTTTATTCAACCAAGCTGATGTAAGGGATCTACTTTAGTTAAAGTCATGTCTAATAACTGACCAATTTGTAGCTTTCATCTCTTCCCTGGAAACATATATAAAATATATTTATAGTAATGTATACACCCAGAAATTCTAAAAGAAACATACTTTGATTACCCATGGAAAACAGTGTTGTCATATATGAAAAGTAGAATGCCGATTCTCTGAGGGAGATGAGCGAATGATCTCCTCTTGTGCAATTTTTGTATTCTGAAAACTCACTGGAGGGTCAGCTATGAGTTCCTTCTGATTCAATAGCACATAGCAAAAATAGCATCAGATTTCTGAACCTATGACATGTAACTGTTGTTAGGTGCCACGGAGTCGAGTATTGCTCATGTGACCCAATAAACATCACATGTGAACCTTGTCCTATCCTGTACCATCCTTATCAACTCTGACATATTTGACCTGTCATTACAGTCACCAGGTCAATACATCTCGCGGAGGACTTCCTGTTCTTCACAGTCGCTCCATCTTTGCAAGCATAGTATCTTTTTCCAAGGACTAGCCCTTTCTACAACATGTCTAAGTATGTGAGTTAAACTTTCACCATCCTTGCCTCTAAGGAACAACCTGATTGCACTTTCTATAAGACAGATATTTGTTTGTTCCTTTAGCAGTGTGATTAAAGATTTTATAGGCTGAGCTCACACACAAAAAAAGAGCAGAGATAAATTTTATTTAAAGAGTTAAGTGATAATTAATTCACTTGGAGTGGTAAACGTTTCTGCAAAGATAAGTGCCTGTCGTATTAAATGATTCTTACAGTTCTCGTCCATTTCCAGACATCTTGAATCCTCCGAAAGGACACTGGGCAGATAACACACTATAGCAATTTACCCTGAAAAGGAAAAAAAAAAAAAGATCCATTATAGCAAATATTTAACCTATGAAATAATTACTAATGTAGTAATTTAGAAATTAAAATAATATCTTCAAACTTCAGTTTATTTCAAGATACAGTGTAATAAGAAAGCATTGTTGAATGCTGGTGTGCAGAAGTGTAAGTCTGTGTATCCATACTACCTAGAAACAAACAGAACTGTGCACCTGTTAGGGCTAGTCATTCTGGCAGTACATGATGACCCCAAGAAGCAGTAGTTGGCATGATAAAAGAATGAATAATCAATATGTTACAATAGGAAAGGTGCAGAGTGTGAACTAAGCCTTGAAGTTGTTGAGTATTGTTGTTATGTGCCCTCAAGTCGCTGTCAACCTGTAGTGAGTCTGTGCAATAGCTCTGAATCCTGCCCAATCCTGAGCCCTCTCATTGTATCCAACACATCTACTTTCATTACCCGAGTAACTATATCAATTAATCTCCTCTGGAGTCTTTGTCTCCTATGTTGCCCTCCACCATTCCAACATGATGTCCTATTCTAAAGACTGGTCCCTCCTAGCAACATGCCCAAAGTAAGTGAGATGGAGAATAAAAATTATTGCTTCCAAGGAGCAACTTGGTTTCACTCTCTTCAGGATAGACCTGTTCTCTTGGCCATAGCACCACAATGTAAAGACATCAACTATTTTTCTGTCATCTTTGGTCATTCATTGTCTAGCTCTCTCTGATATGTAGGAAGTAATCACAAATTCCATGGCAGAGATCAAGTGCACCTTAGTCTCTAGACTGCCATTGTTGCTCTTCAGCACTCTGGAGAGTCCCTGACAGCAGATTTTCCGAATTCAATTTTTCTTTTGACTTCCTGACTGCTGGTGTTAAGAGTGTTGACTGGGTAGGTGTTCTTCTCTCCAGTGGGTTTTCAGAGGCAGTTAATGACATGGGAGGAGACTGCTTACCCTTCTCTTGCAGACTTGACAGTACATAATAACATTACGCTAGTTGGTCCATTTTTCATTATTAGGTTTAATAAATTGCTTGATCAAGGTATTGGCAGAAATTAGATTAGTAGTTTATTTATGTCCTGATTTACTTTAAAACTGTCTGTTTATACATATAATTTAAAAATAATTATTTGAATTAAAGAAAATACAATGGATGACTAGGGCTTGATGAAATTAGAATGCAGCTATTAAGTCCCTGAGTAATTTTCTGGTTCCTGGTGGCCAAAGTGAACAATAACTTCTAATGAATGACAAGATTTTTAGTGAAGGAAAGATGGAAAAATATTGTTAAAGAAGAAAAAGTTATCTTTTCATACTTTTCTCCCTGCTTTCATGCTTTACAAAGAGTGGATATAACAACCACCTTGCCTTTCCAACCTCATGTTTTCATGTCTGTAAAATAAGGATGAAAATCACTGGAGTTGTCTTAAAATATAAGCAAGAAGATGTGTAAAATGTGTTTCTCATGGTGATTGCTACATGGTAGGGCTTTAGTTAGTCGGGTTCCAACTTAAATTGACCCTTCATTTGGTTGCTAGGGTCATAAATCTTTAAGGAAATAGACTACCCAGCTTTCTCCCACAAAGCAGGTGGTAGATTTGAAACACTGGACCTTTTAGCTAGCAATGCAACATGTAATTTCTTTTTTTTTTCTATAACTATATTTTATTAATTTTCATAAACATTTACAGAGATTTTGGGCTTCCACTCATTCATTGTTGCACTATTCTCTCTACCCTCCTCCCAGTTTGTTCTTGTCCAAATGCCACAGTGCTTGTCAAAGCCAGTTCTGATTAATCTTCTTTGTCAGTGTATCCTTTGCCATTCCATATCACTCCTCCCTGAGAGAGACTTCACCCTGAGTCATAAGGAAAAGGGGACGGCGTATTCTCTTAGCTACTTCCTGCTGAAAAGGGACGCTGTGGGTTTCAGGGTGAAGATCTTCTCTCACTACTCTAAAGGGCCCCTTTGGCAGTAGAAAACACATAGACTATTATGAAGATTGATTTTGGAATTCAGATGCACTCTTATTGATTGTGCTTGGCTGTACATGTACATATCCTTCAAGATGTATCATGGGGGTGTTGCAACCTAGAAGACATAAATCTGACTAACAAGTTATAAGTACATGAGTCCAAAAATTATGGAAAAGTAAAAGAAAAGATTCTTTCATTGTTTTACAAACACTCCCCCAGGTCCCCTCCACCATGCAGCCCTCGCTCTAGTCTCCTGTGATGACAGAAATACCCAGTTACATCTCTCTTTTAGACGGTTCTCTCCCTCCTCTGTTTCAGTGCAGTATACATTATTGAACCCATCTTACTCAGTCTCTCCCCAACCCCAAGGACAGTCCCATTCTACAACAGTGGCATCATGTAATATTTGTCCTTTTGTGACTGGGATATTTCACTCAGCATAATGTTCTCCAGAGTCAACCATTTTGAATAATATTGCATGAGTTCCTTGTTTTTTAATGCAGCATAGTATTCCATTGTGCGAATATACCACAGCTTCTCTAGCCATTCGTTTGTTGATGGGCACTTAGGTTGTTTCCAACTCCTTGCTATTGTGAACAAAGCTGCAATAAACATGGGTGTGCATATATCTGCTTGGATGTCAGCTATGGTCTCTTCAGGGTATATTCCCAGTAGTGGAATTGCTGGGTCAAATGGTATCTCTATTTGCAACTTTTTGAGAAAGCGCCATACTGCTTTCCACAGGGGTTGCACCATTTTACACTCCCACCAACAGTGAATCAGGGTTCCAGTTTCTCCACAACCTCGCCAGCATTTGTTGCTTGCTGTTCTGTTAAATTTTGCTATTTTGACTGTGGTTCCTGTGCCCATTTTTCTATTGGATTATTTACCTTTATCTTGTTGTGGTGCTCAAGTATTTCATAAATTCTGGATATAAGTCCCTTATCTGATATGTTATTACCGAATACTTTTTCCCAGTCAGTGGCTTCCCTTTTTACCCTACTGGAGAAGTTTTTGGATGTGCATAGGGATTTGAGTCTTAGAAGGTCCCATTCATCTATGTTATCTTCTCCTGGTTGTAGGTTTTCCAGGATACTGGGAAGACTGTTTATGTTGTGGATTAGGACTTCTAGTGTGCAACATGTAATTTCACGAGGGCTCCTTAATGTTAAGTACAGTCAGTTAACGAAATGTGGCTTAGTTTCCTTTGACTAGAGAACTTTCATCAGTAAGAAAATTTTGGTAAGTTTTCTCAGGAAGCCAGATATGACATGGCTATAGTTTTGGTTTTGTTGTTGCAGTTGGTGTTGTTTCAAAGGTCAGCAACCTTTTTCTGGGAAATTCCCAAATGCAAGTCTGAAAAGGCGAATGTTAATCTCTTCCTGTGGTTGCCCATAGAAGGTGATTTAGGGCTGACTTACCATACTGTTCCAGCCTGCAGGGCAGCAGACACTGTCACAGCTTTATCAAGGTCCCTGGTGAAAACCCCAGCTGATAAGCCATAGAAAGTATTGTTGGCTCTCTTGATGACTTCATCTAAAGATTTAAACTTCATGATTTGCTGGACTGGTCCAAATATCTACACCACAGGAAGTGAGTGGAAGGGATCAAAGAATAACAGGTTATGACAATTTAATTATGTTCTAGACTTCCCTCCTAAAAGCTATGCTAAATTAATTAAAAGTCTCCTATTTATTTAAAATTTTTATGTGCCAATCTAAAAAGGTTATTTCAAAGATTCCACGATAGCAGATATTCATGTGCTAAATCCTCTTTGGAGCAGGCCAAGTAATAAATATGGTACGGGTAGTATTAATTTTCTAGATGGTAGAATTAAGGCTGTCAAGAATTTATGATACTGCTTTTATGGGATAAATTATGTATGCTGCATTGAAACAGATGACAGAGAGAACTATTTTAAAGGGATATATGATTAGATATTATTGTCATGACAGGAGTCCAGGACAAAGGCAGCATAGTGGAGTGGACTTGGGGGGAGGGATTGTATAACAATGAAGGAATTTTTCTTTTACTTTTCAAAGAGAAGAGTGAACTGGAGCTGAGAGAGGTGGGCAGGGAGAAAAGTGCAACAAAGAATGAATGGAAATCCAAAGTCTCTGTAAGCTTTCATTAAAATTAATAATAAAAAGGGGGGAAATTTTATGCTGCTACTTTCAATCATTAACTTCAGAATATCTTTTCTTTTCCATTTAGGAATGTGCTTTAATTATTTTAAATTTTTTCTTATCTTCCAAATTAGTGCACAAACAACAAGCCAGAGAAATCAAAGTTTTTTTTTCTACTGGTTAAATGAATCATGAAGGTAATGTTTAATAGCTATATCTAGGTTTTAAATGTCAATGTGTATCAATGGTTGATATATCAAATATTCTATTTGAATTACGTGTTCTCACAAAGAGATACCAGAGAAATAAGAGTGTTGATAGAAATCAAGTTTGTGAACCAGTATAAATCATTGTCTGCATTATCCTCTGTCACCAAATTTTATGTAACTCTCACATACCAAAGATATTGGCTCCTTTCTATAAGGATTTACCCCAGCACTCTGTACTACCAAAGCATGAATTCATTGCTGAGGACCATGGTCACAGAATAGGAAACAAATACCAAATTCTAGCTAAACTGCTCTTTCCTTTTCAATAAACTCAATCAGAGCAGCCTCACTTCTCTAAGTATACCTCACTCTAAAGTGAGAGGAAAATAGAGGTTTTGTAAAATTTCTTTTTTAAAAATATAAAACTGTTTTAATCTTTTTTTTTTCACTGTTGCATATTTTCTTCCCCCCTCCCCTCTCTCCCAGCTTTCCCTGCAATGCACTCCTAGTTCTACATTGCTGTCACACACATAACGCTTAATCATATATTCTTTTTGCATAGTTCTTTTCTTTTAAAAATGAAAATCTCATAGTACATTTCCAAAGACAATAATTAATATTTTAAGCATAGAGTTCTTGTATAAAAATTATGGATTGATCAAGATTTTCTAGGAATGTGAAAATAGAATATATATATATAAATAATGTTTTTCCCCCAAGTAGATCTAAACAGATGAGTATTTGTCACTCAGTGTAAAAATTCCAGATCTGAATTATGACTCAATGCATTTGGTTGCCAGTGACTTATTATAAAATCTTCATGACTTATAGCCCACAAACCCATGTTCTCATTGATTAACCAACCCTTCTCCTCTCCACCCTGTGACCATGAGATATTTATAATCTTTAAAGAAAATGATCTTCTCCTAGTCATTCATCCTATCTTTGAATCATTTTAAAACTGATGTTTGGCAAACAACATTAACAATACATAACTGCCCAAGAAAATGAGGAAGTCTTAAAAATACAGAGCTAATAGTATGTGGAAAGTAGTTGTGGTGCACCACTGAGTTAGAATTAACTCATAACTTACCCTTCTGTGGGTTTTTAGAGACAGTCAATTTCACGGGAAGACAATTGCCCAATCCTTCTCCCACGGAACAGTTGGTGAATTCGAACTGCATATATTTGAGACTGCAGTGCAACTTCTTACCACTAGGCCACCAGTGCCCCCAGGAGGAAGGTAGTGACATAGAGAATGGAAACTCTTGAAATACATGGATAGTTCCTATGAGGGTCAGGACTAGAGGGCAAGCATAGGATCACGGAAAACAAAAAGAGAGGTTTCTAACCGGTCAGGTCAGAGGCCGACTTCTGTCAGTACTATACAAATATAATGATTCTTGGTGTCCGAAAAAGAGAATATCACAAGAAACAGTGAGAGAACTATTATTGAAGTCTAAAGAGGATGGTTGTCCATCGAAGGGATGCCGTGGTAGGCTCCATCTTATTCAGAGTTTTCCAATCTATAATTATTAGACATGGAGCAAGATAAACTTCCTTTTATCCTTTCCAAATTAGTTTTCAAATATATTGTCTTAAAAGAAGAAAATGTTTCATGAAGGTATTATGTTCCTTTCCATTATTTTAATGTCATGAAGTGCCTACAAATTGTTACACCTCTTTACTGTTCTTGGCTAGAAAGTCATGACATCCAAGTGGTTGCTTAGTGCTAAGAAGTTGCACTGTAATCTCAAAGGCACATGGTTTAAATCCACCAGCTGTTCTCTGGGACTCTCTCTGAGACTAACTGCCTTTGAAAACCCATAGGAGGGTCAGCTCTGGGTTGGTTCCAACTCAACAGCAAAAACAAGAAAGAGTTGAAAGAATTTTTAGTATGTATCTCAAATAACCTACACCTTTAATAATAACAAAAAATGAAAATTAATGTTTACTGAAAACATATTTAAAGAAGTGAGATTTTTAAGTAGACCTTTGGGTACACACACAGGGCCAGAACAGAGTAAAACCACTTACTTCCTCCTTGGCAATGCGCATCTCATCGGTCACATTGGAGAAAACTGTGGGCTGGATAAAGTAGCCTTTATTCCCCCAGGGGCCTCCCCCACATTCAAGTTTGGCCCCTTCTTTCTTCCCACTCTCAATGAGGCCAATTATTTTATCATATTGTTCCTTGTCAATCTATTGGAGGAAAAAAACAAAACACACAAAGCATTAGCAACTTTTGATGGTAACACACTGGCATGTAAATGTGGAACTCAAAATGCTAAAGTACTGAACAAAAACATCTGACAGAGGTTGTGGCTCGCTTTTTGGATATCTTCTGCTGTCATGATTTTTCTGGAATGAAACCTTAAAGATATTTGGACTGAATGTTTGTTTCATAGTTATACCAGAAAATCAAATAAGCAGTGAAAACAGAGACACTGTTGCGCTTTTTTCACACGTATCTGTATTTACTCTAGAATAAGTGCCCATTCATAATGCAATGCATTTTCCTGGACACTATAACCCTGATTCAAATGAAATGAAGACCAGAAGAAAATTCAAGGCCGTCAGAGGCTCTGTGAGTGAAAAGCCCTGGCAGTCTACTAATGATTGTAGCCTTGGAACCTCCAGAAGCAGTTCTGCAGGGTCACTCTGAGTCAGAATCGGCACAGAACCACCACCAAACCACCACCACTACCATTATCTCAATTCTTACATTGACTGAAAGATTGTGTGACTCCCTGACGCCAAACATCTGACATTTTATGAAAGTTATCTTTTCATCTCAGGTGTGGTGGGATAAGGATTAAAGATGAAAAAGGGAAAACAGAAGAGATCCAGGAAGGTAGCAGGGCAGATTCTTGCCAGTTTATTCACATCTCACTGTTCAAATAGGTATTTTTACTTTTTATTTGGTCTGGTTGAAGCTACCATTTTTTTTATTAAAATCTTTTTATGAATTTGTTGTTGCACATTTTCCTCCCTCGCCCTCCTTTTATTCACCCTCTGTCCGCTTTGAAATGGATTTCTTGTTCCAGACTGCTGTCATACATATAATCCCTAATCATACATTCCTTTTAAATAGCTCTTTCCTTTGTCTGTTACAGTGTTAATTATCTATCCACTCTTTTCCTATTCTCCCCTCAACTCCAATGTCAGTCCTGTTCTATTACAGACTTGTTATGCAGTATTTGTCCTTTTATGAATGAGATATTTCACTCAGGGTAACGTTCTCCAGGCTCACCTTTGTTTTGTCATGTTTTAGGTTTTTCAATGTTGTGTAATATTCCATTGTGTGACTGTGCCATACTTTTTCTATTTGTTTGTTGATGGGCACTCGGGTTGCTTCAATCTCTCTGAATATTATGAATAATACAAAAGTAAATATGGGTGTGTATACATGTTTGAGTCACAGCTTCAGTTTTTTTAGGATATATTCCCAGTATTGGAACTGCTGCATCAAATGGTATTTCTGTTTCCAACTTTTTGAGAAAGCACCAGACTACCTTCCATAGTGGTAATACAATTTTTACACTCCCATCAGCAGTGAGTAAGGGTTCCAATCTCTCCACAACTTCACCTGTATTTGTTGCTTGCTGTTTTGTTAAAATTTGCTATTGCTGCTGAGGTGAGACGATATCTCATAGTTGTTTTTAGTTGGATATCTCTGATAGCTAGGGACTTTGGACATTTCTTCATGTGTTTGTCATCTGAATGTCTTCTTTGGTGAAGTGTCTATTCATATATTGTGCTTATTTTGCAATAGGATTTTTTTTAAATTTAGGTTGTTTATTTTTCATTTCAATGAACATCTACAGAGATTTTGGGATTCCATTCATTCATTGTTGCACCCTTCTCCCCACACAAA